GAGCACCGCCCCCTAGAGTCGGGAACGACTAGCACATATGTGCAAGGGGAGCCTTTTACCTGTTTTTAAGTGGTTTTTTGGTTGTAAAATGTTTTTAGTAATTTTAAATATAATTTAGGTTTTTTTTAATGCTAAGCTACCCAGATCGATATGGGCAGCTATAGAAATTGAATGAATGAATTGTGGTCAAGTCATAATTCTGCAGCAAAAGCAACATATCTAAAGCCGCACTGTCTTCCAGATATTGGATTAAACTATGGTTTAAAACCCACTTTTGACCATAGTTACTAATTTGGCAGCTGCTGGTTGCTTTTTTGTCAATTGGAAATTAATCAGAGGGAACATTTTCTTATCACCGGCTTAGCTTAATAAGCCCCAGAAGTGAGATTACATGTTTTAATTCTGTTGAATTAAAGAGCCATTTCCAGGCTAGCATTAAATAGGGAACAAAAGTTACTTTTCAGAACTAACCTATGGCAATTTTATTTCAGCCGAACTAATCTAATCCAAACGTTTCCAATTCTGTTGATGAATTTGATTTGTCTCTAATAAATGCTCTAGACGAGCGATTGCCATATATTTAAGGTAAAGGTAATGGTTCCCCTGGCACATATATGGTAGTCGTTCGTGACTCTAGGGGGCGGTGCTCATCTCCGTTTCAAAGCCGAAGAGCCAGCGCTGTCCGAAGACGTCTCCGTGGTCATGTGACCGGCATGACTCAACGCCGAAGGCGCATGGAACACTGTTACCTTCCCACCAAAGGCGGCTCCTATTTTTCTACTTGCATTTTTTACATGCTTTCAATCTGCTAGGTTGGCAGAAGCTGGGACAAGTCACGGGAGCTCACTCCATTATGCGGCGCTAGGGACTTTAACCGCTGAACTGACAACCTTTCTGATCGACAAGCTCAGCGCCTTAGCCACCGAGCCACCACGTCCCACTTCCATATATTTAGCCTACTTTAATTTTATTTTTTTTCCCCCCATAGGTTAGTGACGTCAACGATGATGTGAGGCGGGCAGCTGTCGAATCTCTGGGCTTTATTTTGTTCAGGTACGATCGGCGTTTTCAACAACCTGGTAGGACACAGAAGGTTTTCTTTTGACGTTCTGCGTATTCCTTTTTTTCTGCTAAGTAAACTGGTAAACTTTTTGCTGATATTGGGTTGGAAGCTTCTTCACACTTTCAAGGATGGTCTCCGAGCTGCATAAGATGACAGTGCCTTGATGTTGGTACCCCAAGACACTGGTATGTGCCAGAGTCTTAAAGTTGCCAAGTTTGGTGATTCCTGGTGTTTGAAGGAAAATCTGATTCAGTTCCAAGCTGGGAGAATGATGCTGGAAACAACATGGAGACAGATTGGAAAGAAAGGTTCTGTTTATTGGTGAACAGAACCACCAACCACATGTGATTTTGGGACAGCTGACAAAATGGAGTTTAGAATGGGTGGGTTTTTATACCTTCTGGATTCCTATGATGTCATGTAGGGGTCATGCCTGGCTCTATAGGCAAAAGGAAATGCAAATCCTAGGTGTTTTGTCAGAGCTAATCTTGTCAGCCTTTGACTCGCCTAATTGTATTGCTTATCTGGAGTCTCTGTCTGACCCAGTCTTTCTGAATGGATTGCCAGTTCTGCATTTCTAAAAGCTGGCCTCCTCAGTTTCTGCTTGGGGCAGGGAAACGGGGGCTGGCTTCTGCCGTCCTTAAGATTTTTTTCCCCCTTTCTCCTTTAGGGGAAATATTCTATCCTGCCTTTTTAAATATTTCCCCAAATATTTCATTCTTCGAGGCTGGTGGGGAGGGGTTTCCCACAATTGTATAGCAGCTAGGTGCTATCCTGGGGTAGTATCAGCCACTAGGCACTATAGTTCATTCTCAGGTTACTACAAGGTGCTCTAGGTAGTACGGCTGACTTTGCACCTGGTCTTGAATGCTGCAGCTGAGTATCCGGCTGGGTGGATGACTTTGGAACAGTTGCTGTCCCCGCAGGGTTGTTGTGGTGGAGGAAATAGAGCCCAAGAGCTTGAGTTGCACAATTAAAGGCAGACATAAATGTGATAATGGATAAATCCAAAGAGCTACGTTGGTATTGTTTTTATACACCGTGCCCGAGTGAATAAGAGAGACAGAGTTGAAATGATTCCGTCGGCGGTTCCGTCCATTTCATTGCTGGTTTTGTAACCACTGTTTTTTTCCCCATTGGTTTATGATTTTAAATTTTAATTACCATATTTTTCGGAGTATAAGACGCACCAGAGTATAAGGCACACCAAAATTTTGAAGAGGTAAACTAAAAAAAAATAGTTTTTGCACTATGCAGACCTCCAAAACCCTCTGCACGCCTCGTTTTTTTTTGTCAAAAATGGGGCATGCAGACAGTTTGAGAGGCCTGCAAAGTGCTCCTGGGGGCGAGGGGGGCAAAAATGAGCAAAAAAATGACCCATTTTTCGCTCATTTCTGCCCTCCCCAGCCCCCAGGAGAACTTTGC